TATCCCAAGCCTTGTCTCGAAGCATCGCTGATGATAGTGAAACTCCGAGAAGGATCGGGAATAATCTACGCTGGTGCTTAAGTTATTTTCCTCTTGAGCTCCTCGGAAATAGTACAACTGGAATGTACAAGCTTAACTTAAAGCTTATACTTACTGATTGCATGACTAGAGAATTCAGTAATTTAATACTGAATAAGATACTTGATCTGAACTGAAGATACTTCAATTCACCATTAAGTGAATTGTGGAATGCTGCTGACTGAAAATGGACACTTTCTAAACGAAAGTGTTCCACTGATAAGACATGGTTTCACAACGAAACTCTGAAATATGTTGGTCGTCCTCTTCTAGCTGCTGGCGGATCTCCGATCGGAACGCTGGTGGTGAAGACTCTCTTCGTAATCTCCCCGTGTACTGAGACGTAGACATGACATCCTTCAATAGAAAGCATCGGTATATCATCATGGCACGATCCGTTGTTGTCGATTGGCTCTTCCCCATCGCGGCGAATGTCAACCTGCAGTACCTGCAACTTTTTACCCCTTCCGAGGTTATACTAACCTCAAGAAGAAGTCCCTCATGACTTAATATTTCCCACGATTTCTCAGATTCTTCAGAATTTGAGAATCGAGGCGTTGACATAATGAAAATGGTAGATAAGTCTTGTCTTACCAGACAGACTATCCTTGATCTTATCATGACTGACCTGACTACCTTCATGGCTGAAAAACCATGACTTGACTTTCGCATGGCTGAATCATCTATGTTCAAATTCTGAAACTATTCCGAGACAACTTAAATAGTTGCTTCAGGACTGAAATCATGATACTTACTGACTTACTTGACTTGATAAGGTACGACTTCAAGTTTCCAGGTAAATCTGAACTAATGGTCTGTCTATCAGACTGCCACATTTACCCGGCTGATCAACTATTATACATCGACCTTACATCATGAACATAAACTGAAAATCGTGAATCTGAACTCTGTACTATATAGGGCTGCTCCAGTATCAACTGGTCCCGCAAGTACAAAGTAATTAGCTGATCTTGACTTCTGAAAGTCATAACTTAAGATAGCATGACTGATAAAATATCTGACATGACTGACTTGAAAGGTTGTTATTTCCTGAAATCTCACTGATTCGGCCCCAGCTTCAAGCCTCCATGGTGTACCCGGCTGAGTGGCTCTTATTTCAAGCCTCCATGGTAACCCAGACTATTGACTCTTATACACTGGAAACTGTTACTTTAACAATGACTTTGAGAATTATAACAACCTTTAACATGAAAATTCTTGCCTTGAACATGACTTACTGATCTGACTTAGGAACTTTGAGTTTATTCCTCGAATTAAATCAAGGAATTTCTCCCTGAAGTCTGCCAATTGATTGACAAAATGGCAGTTCTTGATAAGAATTTCTGAGAAACATGATTCTTAAGATTTGCTTAGCACAATGCTTACAAATCTTCTGACAAATTTCTAGCTTGACTTGAGTGAATCTAGAATTGAATCTAGAATTCTTAAACTCAATTCTTTCCTACGGTTCTGAATTCACTTGCCCCCGATACGGGGGTTTCTTCGGCCGAAGAATTTCTCAACATGATAGTCGCGGAACTGTGCGACTACTGCTGCTTGAATGAAAACTGAGTGATCGGGATCCCTACAGGACTGTATCTGAACATCGGAAAAAGTTTTAACATTACTGAGTATGCGATAGCATTACTGGCTGATTACTAGGCACACAGATCTCTTGACGAGTTGCCAAGAATGGCTGATAATTACTGACGTGAAACCTGAAGAACTCTAGAGTCATCTCGGAAAAATCTTAACGTCTAGAGTCGTATCTGAATGCCTGAATTCTAGAGTCATGTCCAACCTCTAGAGTCTGAATCTGATTCGAGCATCTTAACTAAAATTCTGATCCTCAATTCTGAGCATAGACAAAGTAATATGTTTATAATAACTGAAAAACTGAATTGCAACAGCACTTACCTGTTGTCGGCGGGGCGTGAACATGACGGTTCGGGTTTTACTGAAAATTTCGGACCGTAAACTTTTCTGAAAACTTTTCTGAAAAATTACTGAAAACTTACTTACTGAAAACTTATCTGAAGACTTGCTTACTGAAAGCTTATCTGACTGAAAACTTATCAGAGACGCAGAAACGTGCTCTGATACCAATTGTAACACCCCACCTTACTAGATAAATCAGAGTTGCGCAATTAATCGCAAAGTCTGTGA